CTGGTCGAGGACCGGGCCGCGGGGACACTAAAGCCCCGAAATCATCTCAAGATAACCTCAAGATAACCTCAAGATATGTATGTATGGTTGATAAGTGACAGTGTGTATATTTGTATGACGTCATTGGTGATGCTGTGGTACTTGTGGTGATGGTGATTGGTGGTAATGATGGTGATAGCAGAGATAATAGTGATAACGCCCCTTCCCCCCCACTCTTCCCCACGACCCAGTAACAACCTCAACCCCCATTTCGTTACCTCAACTATCTGCCAATCAAGGCCGCCCATAATGTCACTCCACCACCCACTCGCCACCCAAAATACCACCCACACGATGCAATAGAGTAGAAGTGACCGGTGATATAACTTTAACAGTATACTTTCCGTGTATATTTTGTACATATAATTCTTTTCATTTATATTTAATAGATCAATTGTTATTGATATTATATACAGAGCATACCTTTCACACAAGTTTTATACACAAACAACTTTAATGTATATTTTACTCACAATATACTTTATGTATATTTTATGAAGACATATGCTCCCATGCAGGTAATAAGCCATTCATAGCTTGTTAGAATACTAAACTTAACTTTATCTAGAAAGGCGAAGAGTGACATGGTCGATGTGTATAAATGGATGAATGTGTATGGCAAATATGAAATTAATAAAGTGTTAAATATAGCGACACAAAGCAGAAGACGAAATGATACAACGTGGATAAGTTTAGATTTAGAAAAGACCTGGGTAAATACTGGTTTCGCTAGAGGGTTCTTTATTTATGGCATAAATTCAACCTGTCTTCAGGACAGGCTCGTTAAAGCGTCGTCACCACATTGACGACGTCCCGACCACACTGACGACGTCGCCACGTCACCGCTCGTTATCTTGAGATGTTATCTTGAGATGATTTCTGGGCTTTAGTGTCCCCGCGGCCCGGTCCTCGACCAGGCCTCCACCCCCAGGAAGCAGCCCGTGACAGCTGGCTAACACCCAGGTACCTATTTTACTGCTAGGTAACAGGGGCATAGGGTGAAAGAAACTCTTCCCATTGTTTCTCGCCGGCGCCCGGGATCGACCCCGGGACCACAGGATCACAAGTCCAGCGTGCTGTCCGCTCGGCCGACCGGCTCCCTATAGTCCTCATAAATCCTCATAAATCCTCATTTATCGTCCTCATAAATCCTCATTTATCGTCCTCATAAATACAACAGAGATATAAACCTCAATATGATTTTATGCAAGTTTGACCATTTCGAGGCGTGACCTAAATCAGAGAAGAGAAGGCCATTTTCTGATAAAATAAAAAGACCATTTGATTGGTCGGTTTCCTCGTGCGCGCCAATCTGCTCTGCGGCCAATCAAAGACAGCAATTTTGTGGTGATTAGTTTGACCGCGTTATTTTATTTTTATTTGTTGTAGTGAAAGCGAGAGCGTCGAGTTGCCTTCAGTTGCTCAGAGGATCACAACTTTATCCAAATGTCTCGCTCCTATCCACCCCATTATGTGCCTCTGTAACCCTTTCCACTACCGGCCACAAGATGGGTATGGGGTGCATAATAAATGAACTAACTCCTATCCACATCCTTGTGTAGCAATAGTCAGTCTCGTGCACCTACCATCTATGAAGACTATGAGTAGTTTTATTAAGACTATTTCTTATTTCCCTATTAAGACTACTCATAGCCCAGTCGATAGAGCATCGACCTCACACGGGTGGGGAGAATTGGTCCTCCTCTAAACATATTTTTGATTTATATGTACAAGAGTTCTTACAATCTTGTACAGCCACTAACACGCATAGCGTTTCAGGCAAGTCCTTAATCCTAATATTCCCCGGAATACAACCCTGCCAAATCGTTTAACAACCAGAGGGTCCAGGGTTCGAAACTCATACAACCCAGCTGAATGGAACCTATGGAACCTACCATCCACATAGCTCAGAGAACTCTATGCTATTCTTGGCAATTTCATAATTGCATTTAGATTTATGTAGGGTGTACACACATTTAAATAAGCACATAAATTAACTAGTGCAAAGACAGGCGTTACTAAACGGTTCTGTGACCGACTATAACGAGGACAATAAGAGGCTGGAAGCGTTGTTAGACATGCTATAACTTGTAGTCTAACCTGCTCTCGCACAGGACAGCACATATATGACTTATTGCTTATAGTCACTATTTCGCTTATAAATAAGTAAATATGTGACATATTCCAAGCCATATTTTTTTCAAAGCACTATCTTTTTCTCTCAGTTTTATTCAACAATAATGATTTTATAAAAAAAATTGACAATATCCTGAGTTACTTTACAATTTATTTAAATATTTTAGTTTTGTTTCTAGTCAAAAGTGGTGATCTGATCACAAAGCAGAACATTGGAAAATGAATTTTAAAAAAGATGATTGTTTTTAAAATTACAACGACGAGAGCAAGACGTATATTCATGCCAAGTAAAACAAAGGGATTGGAAAAAAGTTGAATACTCTCTACAGAGTATTGGGAGTATCTTGATCACTGGTTCGAGTCACCTTAAGTGCTCCAAATTGATTTTCTCAATAATAACGGTTGTAAAAAGGATTAGGCTTTCGGCTGGAGTACACAATACCGGGTCGTAGCAACAGGAAATGCTTGTTTATTTTTTATTTTGTGAAAGGAAGGGATGGTGATTAGGGAAGTTGTGGGTTGGGGGAGAGGGGGAGGATACGGGGAGAGGGGAGAAGAGGCAGGCCAGGACCACCAGCTTCAAGATCACTGGACCGTGGAGCAAGTGGTCAAGGGAGCGAGCGTTTTGTTTTAAAATGAAATTGTGTTCCAACCCTCCCTGACGTGACGACTGGAGGAGGTTGAAATGAGAGGGTGTGGGGCGGGGTGAAGTGCTCTTGCTTGTTCACCTAACTCTCCTAACCTCTCGTACACACTCGCTCACTCTCACTCACTACTTCCTACACCCTACTGCTTTCGTTTATTTCGTCTGTCTCTTTCATATCCGCACCAAGCTGGACTAAACTTTGTCTACAGACAGATGCAGTTAGGAGAGAATCATGCACATTGAGTGTTTCTCTGTCTGCCCCTCTCTCTCTCTCTCTTGCACCCTTTGGAACGCCGCCTTGCCTTCTTCGGGAGAGTGCATACTCCATCAACCCGAAGAACAATCAAGTATGGACTATGAGGCCCTATTATTGGCCAAGGGATAGGACAGACCAAGAATGTTTAATCTATGGATGAGCCACGTGGTCCTGATTGGCCACAGATCTCTGTCCCTTCCGATTTGACTTTTCATAAATTAGATGAAGGTTGACGCCTATGACCCGGCGAATACAGCAGACTCCCACTCGATGCATAACACAACGATTTAGTGCAACATGTTAAACAAAAGACTCTGCAAGTGTTTAACGACAGGACGAAACAAAGGTACATGGTTCAGGAGAGAGAAAGTGTCTTATTGAGGTGTGATGTTATTGTAAAGGCCGGCGCTCCAGCCTTGAAACATGATGGTTAGTAGAGAGGGTGCCGAGTCTTGTATTGTTACTGGTGTTGGTACTGTTATATGTTGTGTGGAGCCCTTGTTGTTACTCCTATATGTTGTGTGGAGCCCTTGTTGTTACTCCTATATGTTATGTGGACCTGTTATTACTGTTATATACAGTGTACACCTGTTGCTGTTAGTCTTACTGTTACCTGTTGTTGCTCTTACTGTTATGTGAAGCTGTTGCTGCTAGTACTGTTATATGACTTGTGTTGTTAATGTTTTAATACAGGGCTTTGTGCCTTGGTTGAAGGTCATATCCTGAGAACCTTGTGTTTGGTGTATACATTTGTTTAAACCTTTCACTACGATGATGATGTATACGTGGTGAATGTCGTGAAACGTGTCATGTTTTTCACAGGTGCTCATCCAACTCATACCATCCATGATTTCCTTGACATCAGGAAAACATTTGTATGCCGCAATACCAGGAAAATCAACAATTGGTGTTTACAGGTTCCTTTAGAAGACTAAATCTGTTCTTATTGTCCTGCATTCCGCGTTATTGACATCCTTAATGTTCGTGTTGTATAGAAATATCGCGGTAAATGCATTGGGTATATTGGCAGTACCAGTGTACTTTGTACCAGTCCAAATGACAGGGTAATGTATCTTTTTGGTATGGTGGTAAGGGCGTTGTCTGGTGGCCTTTGGTATCACGTACTGGTACCCAGCGTGGATACCTGATGTGTGGGGGGGTACCTCATACAGGCTCCTCGTGTGTGGGGGGTATCTCTTCCGGGGTATTTAGTATTGGTACTTTTTGAGGGTACCAAGAATTATTTATGTTTCGAAACTTAAAGTCTTATGCGTGACTTGTTAAAAAAGTGACTTGTATATGACTTAAAACGTACATTACTTATGAATGACTTGAAACTTGCAAGGGTTTATGTATAACAAGAAACTTTTAAGACTTGTTTATAAAATATTTAGTGAAAATGTCTACACACAGCGGATCTTTATGTACTAGGCGTCTGTGGCGTCCTAGGCTACAACGACCAGTCACGCGTAGGCTACCGCGCTAAAACTTCAAGCCTCGTGCACCTTAAACTCTTAAGTTTTACACACTCTAGCTTCAATTTCATGCCTCAAGCTCCAATTTTACACAAACACACACGCAAGTTTCAATTTCATACCTCAAGCTGTACTTCCACGCACCCAAACGTCAATTTCATGCACTCTAGCATTAGCTTGGACAACAACATCAGTTGCTGGCTCCATCACACGGCATTACCAACACTATCCCCATCACTCTTGCCCGTTTCCCCCATTTCCCATCACTCTTGCCCGTTTCCCCCATTCCCCATCACTTCCCCTCACCCAATGTAACATACAGAAACACCTCGAACCTGTATATTGAAATTTCAACCCATCCTCCTGGTTTAGATTGGAAATTTTGAGGTCGAGACCTTCTATAACACTCCACCAAGAATGCCATATAAAATGTTTTGTATTTACTTACCATTTTTATTTGTTGGAGCTGTCTATAATTTCATATTCTGCTGATGAAACTTTGACCTGGTGCAAGGAATCACCTGGAAGAGAAAATAATGGAAAAGGTTAAATTAATCTAATTAATAAGTAAATGAGCATTATTATAGTTGATATTAATTAAATAAATATATAATTCACTTTCGTATATTAATACATCTTCAGAAGGAATGAAGAAGTATTCCTTCACTCCTTCTGAAGATGTATTAATATACGAAAGTACTTAAGGAAATTCTTGTTTCAACTCTTCCTCCGTGGTCTGACTCTGTCATATAGGTATATATATATATGAATAGTATATATATATATATATATATATATATATATATATATATATATATATAATATATTTAGAAGCGTACAGACAATCAAGTAATAATATATCGCTTCAAATAATAATAGTGTGTGTGTGTGACACACACACACACACACACACACACACACACACACACACACACACACACACACACACACACACACAAAACAATACAACCCCAAGAATACACAAGGACATGCCACTTTTAATCATAAGTATATCCTTGCATATCCAGCATACTTGGGCATATAATTGTTTCTAATACTCTGGTTGTATATTTGAACTTTTTCTTGTATAGTTGACTGATTCTCCAGACAGTTTACATCTCAGGGGATACCAGGAGGTAGTAAGAATTTACATTATAGAGAACGCTAAGAGTTAAGGCGTTCACAGGAGTTTACACCACAAAATACCAGGAGCTAAGACGATCACAAAAGGGGGGTGAGGTTTACATCCCCCTCTGCTTTACTTCCAACCCTTATCCCTGCTTTACCTCACCCTTCCCCCTGCTTTACCTCACCCTTCCCCCTGCTTTTCCCTCCCTCCCTCCCCTACCTGGTATGTTGTAACACTCATGACCTACTCTGCCCCCTCCCCTCACGACGCTCAGGGGAGGGGGATGCGGGTAGGGGCGTCACTCCCATCTTTTTTGCCTTCACAATCACTTTCATTTTCCTGTCTTGGTGGTGCTGGGGTTGGCTGTGAGGGCCGCCGGTGGTGCTGGCGTTGGCTGTGAGGGCCGCCGGTGGTGCTGGGGTTGGTTGTGAGGCCGCCGGTGGTGCTGGGGTTGGTTGTGAGGGCCGCCGGTGGTGCTGGGGTTGGTTGTGAGGGCCGCCGGTGGTGCTGGGGTTGGTTGTGAGGCCGCCGGTGGTGCTGGGGTTGGTTGTGAGGCCGCCGGTGGTGCTGGGGTTGGTTGTGAGGGCCGCCGGTGGTGCTGGGGTTGGTTGTGAGGCCGCCGGTGGTGCTGGGGTTGGCTGTGAGGGCCGCCGGTGGTGCTGGGGTTGGTTGTGAGGCCGCCGGTGGTGCTGGGGTTGGTTGTGAGGGCCGCCGGTGGTGCTGGGGTTGGTTGTGAGGGCCGCCGGTGGTGCTGGGGTTGGTTGTGAGGCCGCCGGTGGTGCTGGGGTTGGTTGTGAGGCCTCCGGTGGTGCTGGGGTTGGCTGTGGCTGTTATGCTGGAGGTATAAGTTCTGCTAAAAATGGTGACGGCATGGCTATTAACGCTGGCGGTAGTTACGGTATTAAAGGTGGTGCAGGAGTAGTTCCCGTCTAGCAGGCTGAAATGTAGCTTAGAGTGAGTGGACAGTCTCTCTCATTGTATGCTCTCTCTTGCTCTCTCTCTCTTGCTCTCTCTCTCTCTTGCTCTCTCTCTCTCTCTCTCTCTCTCTCTCTCTCTCTCTCTCTCTCTCTCTCTCTCTCTCTCTCTCTCTCTCTCTCTCTCTCTCTCTCTCTCTCTCTCTCTCTCTCTCTCTCTCTCTCTCTCCAATACACTGGATTGGAGACAAAAATGTGTTAAATCCTTAATACCAGTTGAATAAGGGCGTGGGGAGAGGCTACTGTATGTGTAATGTAGTATTGCCTTGTAAAACTTATGTATATATGATTTATATTGTATTTTATTAAATACAGATAAAAAGAAATGAGTATGTGTAACAGGAGGAAGGGTGGGGGGGGGGGTATTCAAGAGGAGGAAGAATGAAGTTTGGAAGTGAAATGAGGAGATAGGATGTTGCTGAGAGAGGAAAAGTGTAAAGGAAAGGAAATCTGAATAGGAGAAAGTGAGAGTGAGAGAAAATACAGAAAGTTATAGAAAGAGAAAATACTTGCAACTAGTTCACCCATTTCCGCACTTTGCTTTGCTCCCCATCCCAACCCATTCCTCTTCAGCCCTCCCCGTCTCTCTCCCCATCCCAACCCATTCCTCTTCAGCCCTCCCCGTCTCTCTCCCCATCCCAACCCATTCCTCCTCAGCCCTCCCCGTCTCTCTCTCCCCTCCTCTCACTTCCCCTGTATGGCGTTACTGAAAGTTGTTCTCGATCGTGCCAAAGGCTGACAAGTTCTGGCTGTGTGTGGGGTGTGCAGTGAAGGTTGCGTGGTGGTGGGGGTTATGGGGGGACCTTGATGGGGGTGAGGAGAGGTAGCGAGTCGGCGGAGCTTGTTTTTTGAAGGGGGGCTTTAAGTGGGCATCAGTAAGTTGTGTGGGCGGGTGGCAATTCGTTGGCATTGGATTGTGTGTGTGGGTTGTTACATGTTGTTAGTGGTGTGGTTTACTGGGCTGGTTATACCGCTAGAGTGGGTGCTTTTTCTTTCCATGGGTCTCGTTCTATCCCCTCCTCCACCCTGTCCTTCTCCTTCTGCCTCAGTAACGGACAGCAAAGGAAAAAAAAACGGCACCTCTTTCCCAAATGGAATACCTTCAGATGTTGATCTGAAGGGAGGAAGACCTTCAGCGTCACTTATACTTATCATAATAATAATTAATATTATTAGCACAAAAAGTAATTCCGAAGCCCTATCGCTTGCAAGCGGCGAAGAATAACCAACAGTTATACTGGCTTTCAAATCACATTCAAATTTGAATCTAATCAAATTTGAATTCACATTCAAATCTACGCATTTGTTTTTCCTGTAGAGTGAACCGTCTTGTCATTTTAATTACGCAACATCTGGCGTTTCTTAGTTATTAAACACCTGTTGCTCCAGGTCTGCTTGCAAGACATTGTTGAAAACTCACAAAAGTTTCAATTTCTGCTTCGTTAACGTCTTGTGTATTTCCAGGTAGTGTTGCTTTTGTTGTCATTGTTCCCGGGGAGATGCTCGATGTTTTCTTGCTTGTCCTTGATATCCCGCAAATAAAGTGTTTGTGTAAAAGGGTGGACTGCCTCATTCCCTTCTCCCCCCCCCCAAACTTACCTTTGGTTAATGCCGTTACCTGTAATTACTGGTAAGAATCTCCTTCAGTGTGTCAGGTGTGGTGTCACGTTCGGGTCTCTGCCTGGCTAAGGCTCACGCGCGGGTCTACCTGTCTGTCTGTCTGTCTGGGACTCATGAAGGAGGTTATCTGTCTACTTGAGGCACACTCACGGGTCTACCTGTTTAGGGCTCACTCCAAGGCCTAGTTGTTTGTCTGAGGTTTAGAAAAGCTGTCGTTCTGGGGTAGAGGAGTTGATCTTTCTCTCCGTCTTGGCCTCACACAGGATTGTCCTTATCTGTCTGGCACTCCCTCACAGTGCTACGTCTCGTACGGGTGTCATTCTCTCTAAAAGTCAGGTGTGGGTTTACCAAACTCGCATATCTATATCCACCCAAACTCATAATATATGTAATACGAGGAAGGCCTATTGGCCCATACGAGGATTTTTTTTCAGGGATATTCCTGCCCGGGCCCTAAGCCTCTGGCTGGCCCACTAAGTGTTGCTTGTTTCTGTTTTACTTGGGCGGAGTATGAGTATTTATGACTCGTATGGTCGCTTCAGTAAGATTTTGCCATATGTGTTTAACAACTTCTTTTGCTCTGTTGAATCTAACTTGAAATCCTAATGGGTTTGTAACATTACACTGTGTTAGATAATGTTACAGTGGTCTGTCGGGAGCTGCCTTGTATGGACCAATAGGCCTTCTGCAGTTACCTTTGTTCTTATGTAAGAACTGTCTCGTGTGGGCCAAAAGGCCTTCCACAGTTTCCTTGATTCTTATGTTCGTACCGTTAGTGCGTGAGTGAAGACACTCACGCCAGTGTCTACCTGTCTGGGGGTCAGGATGGTTCGTACCTGTAAACACCATGCTATACTATCCGCACGCAGGCAGACACCACTCCATGTTTGTTGCTGTTATAGATTCAGCTACTCGGAACAAGTTCCAAGTAGCACGGGCTATGGTGAGCCCGTAGTGGACTTACCTGGCACAGGAGCGGTGCTCGGATGGCACCACTCCATCCATCAAACGGTTATATACTCTTGGTTAGTCTGATGGCCAGGTACGTTCCAGGGCTGAACAGCAAAACATTATGCCCTGTTGTAGAATGCATCATATTTAACATACCCAGACGATGGCCGATCTTAGAACCTGACCAAACTATTCCCTGGGTGCTCCTTTGAGTTCGACATAAGGACGAAGGTTATTCGCTGACCTGTTCTAAGAGTTCAGCTAAGCGTAGGCCCCAAGTAATAACAGATTCGAGCCAGCAACAGATTCGAGCAAGCAACAGATTCGAGCCAGCAACAGGATCGAGCCAGCAACAGGATCGAGCCAGCAACAGGATCGAGCCAGCAACAGGATAACAGATTCGAGCCAGCAACAGATTCGAGCCAGCAACAGGATCGAGCCAGCAACAGGATCGAGCCAGCAACACGATCGAGCCAGCAACAGATTCGAGCCAGCAACACATTCGAGCCAGCAACAGGATCGAACCAACAACAGGATCGAGCCAGCAACAGGATGGCGCCAGCAACAGGATGGAGCCACAAAGAGACTCCGGTGGATCCCTGCCAGGCGCATGGTACGGTACCATTTGTGTTTTCGTTTCCACAACATCAGAAAGACCTTGACTATCTTGAGCCACGGCAAGAACTAGTGCCCCCACCTGGTCCAGGGCAGGTCACGCCCACCTAGCCAAGTGGTGTGGGCGTGCCTGGCCTACTGGTCCCACTCGCCACCCACTAGTAATATACCCGGTCCACCTTACTCTTCTACTGACACGCTTACCGACTCTTGCTTTTAACACTGACAGGGA